GCACGTCGCGTTTAATATGCTTGCATTTAATATGCGTGTCATCTCGTAAACGTAATGAACCAGAGTCTCCAGAACATGTACGCGTTATGTGAATATTTACGTAAGTAACAAGTAGCAACCGAGAAAATGGGGAGAGGGGAGAGCAAGAGTAGCTCGGGGCCAGGGTTATAACTCGACAGTTATACAGTTATGACGTCGTACCGGTTTGATATCGTTGGATATATCGCATTCGGAGAATGCATCGAATTTAGTGCTACACGGCTTGAAAAAACATGTAAAACAGCAAATGTAGTTGATTGGCCGTTATTTATCCTATCGAGGTACAATATTCTTAACAGTGAATAAAGGCAACAGATATAGAATATATAAAAAAAAAGAAGTCTAAAAGAAAAGAATTAAAAAATCTAGTCAATACTAAAGATATTATTTATCGAATCTTCATTATTTCATCGTACTTGAATAATACAAAATTTAAAAAGTCACATAAAACGTCTTTAAGACGTTTTAATTGAATTAGTATACATTTTTAGAATTTAAAATGGAATAAACACAAAGGAAGAACGATTTTGCTGAAATATCTAAAAATTTAGTTAAATACAAATAAAAATAATTTTATTTAATCACAAAAATAATTAAAAAACTCAAGCAATGCTGCAAAAATTTTTTTTGATATTCCAGTAACCAGCTTGAGGGTTCTACATAATTATTTTGATAGTTGAACAAAATTATTTTCAGATCTACATCCAGCTAAATTTTTAGATATTTAACCAAACAGTCCTTTCCGTGTGTATGTCTGATTTTAGTGAAAAAAATTTAATGCCATCTATGAATAAAAATAGACTTTGGACATAATTAATTGTACATCATAAATTTTCATTTAGCATCGCTAGATCTAATTTAATACGATTTATATTAATTTATCTTATCTTTAAATTGCTATGTAGTTAAACGGGCGCTCATGAAAGGAATACTGATGCGGTCGCAACGTACAAACCTAGCATAACATAAGACGACGTGACACGAACGATACTCAAGTGTGCGCTATACCAAAACGATCGTATACACGAGATTGTACTACTTCGCGACGGTAACTCGGGGCTTCTGCCAGGAGATGACTAAGAGAACTCTCGATGTTGCATCCACGACCGAGATCCATGTTCACCCAGTGATATCATCCACTCAATGCACATATCGCACAGCGAAAACGTAATGCAATAAATTTGATAATCATGCGACGCAAAATCTCGTAACCTTTTTTTGGATGAAATGTTATCGCGAGACATGAAGAGAAACGTACAGGTGAATTTAATACTAGGAGCTAGTAACCATGTTTACGATATTAGAACGGCATAAGAAGGCTAAATATAATCGGATTAGCGTATAGTTGGGTCTCCATAATCGTGATCGTATATTTCACGGCGCGAATTACACGCGCGTTCAGAATGCATCAGGAATACGTCGTATTGCGCTGGCAAATACTGTCGTCATCGATATTCGTAACGCGGATCCAATATGTGTGTGAATACCTGTTAGCGATGTGAGTAATAGCATCGGAGTAAGCCGAGATGTAAATTGTTGCAACTAAGTTGTAACTACGTTTATTGCCTCTCTTGGTGTGTAATAAAAAAGACGTTTCCCTGTCGAACAAGACGGGAATAAAATGACGTAATGACGAAATGTCGTTGCTCCTGGTAATAGCCTGGTATAGCCACGCGGATCTTCACGTCGCTTCGCATGTATATTTGTAGTCGGACCGTCTAGGATGCGTAACGGATCATAAATATACAAGGAAATACGATGAATATTCTCACGCCGCAATATAAAGCTGGCGGATAATGTCCGGGATGTGTTTACGATATCAAAGTGACATAAGAAAGCTAAATATAATTTAACGACGCACTTTGCGCTCGTCTTTAATGTCTACCTTGCATTACCGACGGGGACGAATAACTTTCTCATCTCGCGATGATCCTTCAGTACTGACGTACACAGCCGTACAATATATCTTCGATAAATATGCAAATAAGAGCTAATGTGAATTTCTAAGTGCGATATATCTTAAGCCGCGACTCAGGATGTTTTCATTGTGCAATCGGGTAACGCTAACGCTCGCGACCATAACGTAATTGTATAAGGGATCGCAATTAAATCGAGTTTGCCGAGTTCGCTCTATATGCAAGATCCTCTCTCTCTTTCTCTCTCTCCTTCCCCACCCCATTTCATCGCGGTGTAGATCCCGAAGAATCCGTTCGTCCTCGAGTTCCTAAGCAATTACGACAGTTTCCGAGAGCATTTCGCGATCGCCTGCAGTTCGGCGTTCGAGATGGCGACGCGGGGGAGAGGGAAGGAGGATGGCAAGAAGAGTACGAATCCCCAGTCTCGTTCCCTCCCCAGCCACCCCCTTCAGCCCAGTCCGCGTCCATTGGCGAAGACCTCATACATATTAATGGAGATCGGATCGATTTTACTGCGCGCTCGCTTCTTGCTGTGTTTAGGGACATCGACGTTCCGGCGCATAAGCTCTTCGGGCCGCCCGCAATGGTTATTATGCCATTAACGTAATGAAGTTAGGTTGTGGAGAGGTGTGCCGTCGGTGTTGGCGGCAGGTCCCGTCGCGGAAAAACGCGCTGAAATACAGGCGATCGGGAATCTTCGATGATGAACTGCGCGTACGTTTTCTTGCATCGAACGTGGCGATCGATGGGCGGCCGATTTATATAATTATAGAGCTAGGGATGCTACAGTAATAATTCTAAGTTATAACAAACCATCTCGTTCCCTTACTTCGAAAGTAGCACAATTAAAAATATATGATTTTCGAGTTATTATCATAAATAAGTTAGGGGAGGGAGATTACTTTATCAATTATTATCAGTAAACTAACTTAATTTTATAATTGATTCGCTAAATTTGCGTCGATCTTAAGATTATAAAAAAGATTATAATCTTCTACAATTCACGCAAAAAAAATTTTTACTGCTCCAATTATAGCTAGAATTATAATTGTTTTTTGTATCTAGAAAATTATGTAATATTTTTTATACTTAGATAATTTTCGCTGTAATTGCAAAATCATTTTTGTGAAGAATGATATATTTTGATTTGTATCATTTATGTAAATAAAAAGGAAAAACAAACAACATTTAGAGTGCAGATAATTTTGATGATCAAAGTTGAAAAATAAATTTAAACATTTTAGTTGATTAAGATAAAAATATAAACCATTGATGATATTTCGAATTATATCACTTTTGATGAATTATTTCAATTGTCATAATTTTGTATAGGACATCAAATTCGTTACAACTCAAAAATTAATTATGTTTTTAAAAATATATTCTTTTTGTCAGTATTATTTGATTAGTCAATAATTTTCTGTTAAGCTGAAAAATACTTGAGAAATATTTTTATCATTTTTTGAAGTAAAGAAACAAAATATAATTATCAGCCACGTAATTATTAATCAATAGAATAGCGCTTCTATCCATTAATAAAGTAGATGAGTCTCTCTAATAAGATTATTGTTTGTTATTAACTAATAATTTGGTCAATAATTAGGATATTTTAATTATCTATCTATTATTATCGAAAAACGTACATTTAATTGTACAATAATCTCGTGCATAATTCGAGTCGTTTTACGCAAAGGTTTAAAACTCTCGAAGAACTACAACGCTCCATACGTGATCGTCTTTTATGCATGATTCAGTAAACGACAGTAAACGGTTTATAGACAGGCTAAGGACGTTTAGTCGCACTATTACCAGGTCAATGCAGCTGACGCGTTGGACATACAGTTGATATGTTTGTACACTGAAGAGACAAGTTCCTTGAGCCAACATTCGATGCATGTAGAGAGTTGCCAATTAAAATTAAATAATATTCTTCAACACTTCGTAAGAGATTATAAATTTGTTTCGTTCACATAGATCTAACAATATTAAATTACTAACGAAAAACTAATGAAAAAAAAAACTCAAAGAAAAAATACCTCTTTCAGGTATTATAACACAACGTGATAAAAAATCATATAAATAATTTAACAAATTCAAAGTAAACCTACCTATTTTTTAACATTTTCGTTTTAAATGAGACACAATGAGTTTCCCCAATTTGTCAAAAGCAAGAGATATTCGACTGGACTTCCGGCTACGATTCTCTACGCTAATCACGCGCCTTTCTCTGGCGGACGACAAGAAGGACGTCAGAAGAAAATTCTGCAGCATTCGATGCGTCGAACCGTGAAAGGATCTGCTCAAAGGTTCCTTTCACGGCGTCATCCTTTTGATCGCCGAAGATTCGGACGGCCGGAAGGACAAGGATATAAAGGGAAGTGAGCGAGACCAATTAGCGTTCGCGCAATTTTATCAAGCGAACACCGTGTGATTCAACGAGGACGGATTAAGCCGTGCTACGTGGCTCTCGATGACGGATTTAATTCTCTGTGCAGGCAAATGTTTCGTTCTGAACGGCTCCTGAAGACCCGTTCGTGAAACCGGCTCGACTACTATTTTAACGCCACGTAGGATTTACCCTGTGAAAGACCAAGGCGATCAATTCAATCCGGCTGAAAAATCGTAGTGAAAATACCTTCGCGAAAATATTATGTTACCAATTCTAATAAAATCGATATAAAAATTATTTCAATATCTATTCAAAAGTAAAATATATTTTCTTCCCATAACATGATACTTTTTTAATTTATAATATTCACGAATTATAACATTCATACACTGTTAACGATAAAATGTTTATTTTAACTTAAAGACGTACGGTAGAGTCTTTTTGTACAAAAGTAAAAGTTAATTTTAACATTTTTACATATTTCAGAAAGTCCGATGTACGTCTTCAAGTTAAAATTAATATTTTACTTTTAACTATGTATACATGCAAGTTCTCGGAAAGATATCGTATCTACCTATCGTTTCATCCGATTGTACTTCGTGCTTCTCAACGAGAAAATGAACAGGATCCCACACAAAGGGTCACGCGCGCGATATCTCGCTGTTTCGCGTTTCCGTATAATATTCGACGAGTCCTCGTCGACGAGATTACGAGTACCGGGATGGTATCCGTCCTGGTCGTGATACGTAATGCGATTTGCGGTGTATTCGCCGCACAAAAGATTACCGCGGCGAGTTCCAACGAGCCATGTGCACGGGATCTTGGGTGCGCTCGGTAATACTTCCGCTGCCTAATGCGGAAGAAGGGCCCTTTCAACAAAAAGCAGTCTCGAGGTACTACAGGTTTATTGCTTTCGGCGCTATCTCGGGATCTCGTTACGCAATACGTAATAAAATCATATAGAATGTACGCGATCCAGTACATCATAATCGTAATATTCGACGAGATTTGTTTCGATCGATATAATTAAGATAATTTCTTCATTGAAACGATTATTTATGATTGATACTAATAATAGTTATTGAAAGTTATTTGCTACTTAAATATTATTTATTATTATTATTATTATTATTATTTATTACTCTTTCGCATCGCAATATACATATATTACGGTTTTTAAAATAAACAGTTTAATTTCATTAATTTACGTGCCTCACAAAAATGAAGAAGATAATAAGTTTTCTTTGTATAAAATGTAACTATTATTCATGTATATTAAAATGAATATTAGTATTGATTTCTAATTCTGTGTCTTTTTTTATTACTATAAAAAAAGTATATGATTGTGGATAGCTGCTATCTCTTTGGAATTTCAATTCCTCATTTTCAATTTCTATCGTCATATTCAATAATCAATTGCACGCTCGACGTTCAACTTTCAATATCACACTTAGCAGATGAAAAAGTAATTATAAAATAAAAAAATATTTAATATATTTTTTGATTGTTACACTTACATGCGAATGATTCCACATCTTCGGTTTCGGACTCGATCTCGCACTGTTGGTCGCGTTTCCGCTTGCGGAATTGTTGGAAATATTGCCGGACGACGCGGTGGATTTGATGGACGGTTTTTGTGTCTTTTGTATTTGTGTGGCTACCGATGCCGAGGGAGTCGCGGTCCGTTGCTGTTGCTGCTGCTGTTGCGTGGTTGTCTGCTGTTGCGTTTGCTGCATGATCTGCTGGATGAGCTCCAGCTGTTGTTTCGTGAGGCCATCGTTACTGGCACCGGGAGACGTGGCGCTCTATAAAATATTATTAGTGGATACTTATAAAAAAAACTGATTTTTAAATCATTTTAAAAAATTGTTAATTATATTACAAAGATTTTATGAACATTTATCTTTTCTCTCCTATGTCAGTCTCCTACATCGAGTTTGAAATCTCTTCTCGATTTTAATTCTCGATATTTAATTTGAAAAATTCTCTTTTTGTCGCCATCGTGATAAAATGAATGTCGTTATAGCATTCCTGTTGAAAAGTAGAAGGCGTGATTATACATTTGATCCAATCTAATCGCAGTTGGCGGATCTAGTCTGTTCCGTTCGTGATCGGTTGCCAATGTGTGGCTGCAAACTATAATCGATCATACCTTAATAGAGCATAACGTAGCCTTAGTATCCGAGCTGAGCTCACGTTCTGATAATAGTTAAACCGATCGAATTTAATAATTTACCGAACCGACGTGAAATTACGAACGCAGTGTCGCACGGCGCCGCAATCTCGACATCCATTAAAACGAGCGCCGACTGTAATTCCGCCCGTATAAACGCGTTGCAATAAACCGTAAATATATCGACGTGTCCGTCAACTAACGCTACTGTTATACACATATGCACGTGATGCCTAGAATACCGTGTGTGTTAATCCGTCTTTGTACCCTATTAAAGCGGTCACTGTGTATATACGGAGATGTGCATTATGGTTGCACATTAGTGTGGAAATAGCCTTATGTTTAATATTTAAAAATTCTAATACTTAAAAATATATAAATAACAAATACACTATAAAATAGAGAAAATGAAAATTTTTATTTCCTTCAAACATTCCATCCGTTATATAAATAATAAATCCATTATATCTATTATTATAATATTGTATATATATAATATATATAGCATTCGAGAGAAAAAAATAGGATTTCAATTTTATATTATTTTTCGGATTTAAAGCAGAAAAAAGGAGATAAAAAGCAGCCATTACTAAATCATTTTCACGCATTATATGTGGGCGAGATTTTTATACATTGTTTTATATAACGCGAGCTTAACGTACACGCTTGCGCGGACTATAAAAAAAACGCAGAAATATTCGCGATCAGCGTTCACACCTGCATGCTTGCACTGCCATGTTGCATGCTGTGCTTTGTTTTACAATTCAGCAATCGTGCGACGCAGTGCGCTTTACCTACGTCGTTTCGAGCGTTACTACCGATTTTTCGATTGAGCCCTTTTCGAATGGTACACAAAAGTACAGAATGCCAATTGTGTGCGCACACAGGAAATTCAGATGCGGGCGATACGATGTTCCAATTCGCATCGCGATTTTCGGGGAGGTCGTGGAAATCGCGATAACAAAACTTTCCTTTCGCGCGGGGATGAGAAATGTGGGTGATAAAAAGGTTACTGCTCGAAATTTTTTATTAGAATGTCACAATTAATGTGAAACGAACTAAATTGCTCGCTGGAAAAAAAAGATTGACTGCTGCAGCAAATTAGATGGTAAAATATAGCATAGCATTTTTAATTGGTTGCAGCAGCCAATTTTTGATTATGTTAGCCTATCGAAATCCTATACTAACATGCAGATAGGCTAACGCAACCAAAAATTGGCTGTTGCAATCAAAAATTGATTGCTACAGTCAATTAAAAATGCTATGCCATATTTTATCATCTAATTTGCTGCAGCAGTCAATCTTTTTTTTCAGTGTATCGTTTTCTCCTCGGTGAATTATAATTTTTCGTCTTTTCCCCATCATTCACAGAGATCAAGAGTGCAACATGTTGCAGTATCTCGACAGATATCTGTAATTTTTTAATTAATAGAAAGCAAGTATCCTTTTCTTTTTCATTAAATTGTAAGATAGTACATACAATGGCCGGTATTCACAATTGATTTTTATATTTGAGACTTTCTTAAGTGCAGTCTTAATCCTTATCCTACAAGACGAGTCACTAGTGACCCGAGCGATTTCTGTTCGTGCAAGTTTCTTTGAATCTTTCGATAATTATAAATTATACTACATTTTATTATTTTCCAAAATAAAGTTCCAATATTTTATAATATTTATTCTAGAAAATTGAAAATATGTTGTTGGTAAATTTTTAGAGATTTTTTGAATCATGAATAGGTGAAAAAACGGATGGATTCTAATGCCCTCGTTTATATAGATGAGGTATCAAATTGTACCCTTGTAGGATAAGAGTGAAGTTGTCATAAGCCAGAGGGCTATATTAACATCTTAAGATATTATTTAAGATGATCTAAAATAAGAACGAATTATAAGTATCGCTCTGAAAAAGTATTCATATAAAAGAAAATTTATTTTATTAAAAAGACCTTATTGTAGAAATTAAATATTAAGCAATTTTAATATAATATTTATATCCTGCCTTAATAATACATAAACAAAAAAACAGCTTTGCGTGTTTTTGATCTTAGAAGCTAATTTTTTCAACGTACTGTATAAATACTGTTTATAAGTCCAAATAATATAATTTTTTATTTTTGTTTATTTTTAAAACAATTTTTATTTTAATTATTACTATATATGTAGGTAAAATAAATTTGAGAAATCTATTTTATTCTTTATTAATAAATTACTAATTAATGTTTGCTTTTTAAAAATAAGATTGTTTTTAAGGATATCTCCCTTATATGAATACTTTCTGCACTCATTGCATTTCATTTTCAAGATTGCTCTACGAAACAAACGCAACAAACATATTCTTCTTCCTTTGATCATTTTAATTTTTCGTCTAATTTATTACAGTTTTTATATCCTTAGAATACATTACTCATACGTATAATCATGATGTAAACTTCAAATTAAAAGTACGCAAACAGTCTAATCGATAGAAGGCTTTAATTATCATCAGCCGAGTTTCCGGTGCACCAACTAAAAGCGTAGATTGCGGACAAAGGAATTTATTTTGTTTGCGCGCTTATTTCGTTTACTACTAGCGGCAAAATGAGAACGAGCGCCCCGTCCGGCGCAGCGCGAGATAATTGCGTCGCGAGGGGAACCGCTAATCAGTTTTACGCGCTGATATGACGATTGCACGTACGAAACGACGTGGTGTTCGCGAGTGCGTTTCCGGCCGGGAGGACGCAGCGTGAATTGAACCGTCGATTAAAATTGGATTTGTTAATTACTGCAGGGAACGTGGCCGCCGGCGGCGACGGTGGTCGGCGAGTCCCGATCCGGCTCATACCTTATTAAACCTTCATTTCGTAATTCCCACGCGCTGTCGTTTGTCATCGTCGTAATCAGCGGGACAGCCCTCGTCGCCTCGACGAGTCACCGTCGTGTTTGCCGTTTCTCTTATTCGCGAGAGAAAAGGATAGCGACACTTGCATTTTAAGATATTATCCCGCACCGCATCTTTCCGCGCGATAATTTTCCGTGAATAATTAGCGAATTATTTGACTACCGTTAGACCCTCGCAAACACGGGCCGCACCCGCATTCGCAAACAATCGATGCCGATAGGTTTGTAAATACCCGCACAGACGCAATGCCCCGGCTATTGGTATAATATGCGCCAGTATTTCCCTTTTATTCATGAGTTTGAGGATATTAATCCCGTATCATGTTTTTCAACACGCTCTTGCCTTTCGATTCTTCAATTTGTTGCCCACATATCTCGCGCAAAATGTTCGCCTCATATCAATAATACGTACTCGCGTAATTACAGAAACACATTCATTAAACCGGAGCGTTGCGCTAATTGACGTAGCCATTTATTAAAATACGCTCTTTAACCATAAATATTTTCGCTGGTCATCGCAATGTATATATTGGTGTATATATCGTTTCACAATGTACTATCGCGCATTATGGGTATTATTACGAATGTTATTTCACGATGCACATAATATGTATGCTTTTCCGTTTCAATAATTCATCCGCCTTATATATAAATCATGATAATTATAAAATTCATGTACACATAAGAACATCGCAAATCCTATCCGTTTAAAACAATATCATAAATTTGCATTTGTATATCTTTCATTGTTTACGTAATACATACGCAAAATAACATTACGAATTTGTAAATCTTTTCATTGCCGGCTGTTTACGTTGTGATAAATTGTCATTAAACGTAAATAGCCATTAAAAGTATGTTACAGTCATTTATGTTTTACAGGACACCTCGAATATTTGTGGTTTCACCAAAAAGGTATCAAGATTTCAGTGGTCGGTTTGCAGAATTACATGTATAAATTCACTCTCTGAAATACTTAATCTCTAAGATCCGCTTTGACCGAAAATCGATTTTTTGTCTTAATTAAAAAGATACAGTCTTCGCGATAAAAATACGTTGTATATTTGATAGGCTCATTCGTCAAACTTCCCCGAGATTCCGTAGAGCGCGGCATTCCGGATCATCCCATTCCTCGATGGCGCTTATCATATATATATGTAGACGCGCGAGTCCCCGTGTGTGTGTCGCTATCGCCATTTATACGCATACAAAACGCGTCGTTTCCCGAAAGCGCACCGGCGACGGTCGCGCATTTGTCAACCGCGAGAGAGAGTCCAGAGCGTCTGCGAAACTTCGCCGTTATCTCTCGTCGTGTATTCGTCCGCCTGACAAATCGCCGACCCGTAAGGGGCAGGGTGGTAGCAGGGACGTCTCGAAACTCTCGTCCTTGGAGACCAAGACCAAGAACAGGAGGACCTTCTTGAGGTCTCCTTCCTCCTCTCCGTCACGATCTTCCAACGCGCGTCCTTGGCACCTTCGCTTGATTCTCACGCGAGAATCGCATTACTTCACCCACCCGTTCTTCCTCTTGCGCGTCGTCCTGACCCTCTCGTTCATCATCGTCCTCGCCCATCGGCGACCCGACCCACTTTCGATCCGCCCTGTTTCTCCTCTCGCATGAGAGGAACGCTACTGCAGCTTTGTACCATTATTTGAACATCTACATCTGCCTTTTGTACGGTATTCACAGTTAACGACGCGCACAATGGTTAATTCGTTAATCAGAGATAAATTAAGTGAAACTATAATGCAATT